TTTCGGTCCCACCCCCTGCGCACATCGAAAAGTATGCTGATGACGTTGTTTTGTCTCAGACAGTTACATCTCCTTCGGAATTTCATTCTGAAAGCCTATCCCACATCCCACAGTTTTCTGACGAAGCTGATCTCAGTCTTTACATATCTAAGTACGTAGAGTGTATTTTCAGTCTTTCCCGCTCCTCATTAACAGCAGACTCTGCTGCCCTTAACGGTAAACCTGTATCCAGAATGACCTCAGTCAAGTACCTGGGTGTCACCATCGACAGCAATCTTCATTAGTCTACACATATCTACAACTGCATGGGAAAACTGAGACGCCTATCTTCTCAGTTACGCAAACTCAGGCAATTCCGAACCCCACAGTCAGTCCTGTCATCACTGCGTTTTACTCATTCTACTTTATTACACTCCTGTAGCGTTTCCCGGTCTTTTAAAACAGGACTTCAAAACAATTCGCCATGGTTTGGTGGTAATCAGTCACGACTGATTACCATTGATCCCAATCGATTTATTAATCACAGAACTCATTGATGGTCACATCAACTCTTGATTTCAATCTGCTCAAAAGATTCTAAATGATCCTCTTCATCCACTACACCCTGATCTATCGTCTTGTCGTTCCCGTCGGTCTACACGCTCCTCATTACGACAGCTACCCTCTGGGATTAACATTTATAAAAATTCCCCTGTGCCCTACTCGGCCCGGTTACATACCAAAAACGAACAGGTCTCAAATGAACTACGTCAAACGTTTTGTACATGAAACAAATATCACCGATATTCTTTACCTTTCGTTTTTATTATTATTATTATCATTTCATTCTGCGTGACGAACAGTATACATTACTAACTGAAATGTAAGCATATATGCTTACACAAGTTATACAAATACAAATACAATAATACTATATATCGCTTAATCGTCAGCCAATTCATACAATTTTTAATGCTTGTTTTATTGACGTGACTTATTAACAAAAAAGGTGTGGTTCGTTGGTGTGTTCCTCCACGTTCTTCGTCGTTCTCGTGCGTAGTGATACATTTGCTTTTACTTACAAGGGATTCCATCATATTGACATGTGTTGATTAGGTGTAAAGTAGGTATTTGAAACACTGAGTCCCCTCTATCCATCGTATCAAGACCGAATGAAGATATATATCGCGAGATGTTAACATTTCGCTTAATCTTCTCAATTTACGTCAGCGATTGAGAAGATTAAACGCAATGTTAACATCTCGTGATATATGTCATCTTTTGTTCTTGAGACAATGGGCAAAATAGGTAGAAAATCGGTATCACGTGATCGATTCTACTAATGATCAACAAATGGTCGCCACAATTCCGAGGTTTCTAAGCAAAAAGGGTTAAAACCTGTACGGGTATCGGTGATTTCAATCACTGTATCAATCAGTCAATTCAAGTCAGTTCGGTGTTTTGAAGCCTGGGTCACCAAAATCCATCCGTGAATGAGGTGAGAAACAATGTCAAAAATAAAGTTGCCCTCAAAAAATAAAACGAAACAACTGAGCTATTTTGAATGTTGTCCAAAGGAACCGATAACGAGTGAGGCAAAATCATCTCCAGTTCCGTGAATGCGTAGTTTCAGTGAAGCCTTTACAACACTGGTCAAAGTGACAGGCGAAAGCGTCTTGGGGTATTTTCAGCGTTATACACTCCTAAATGGAAATACTCACAAATGTCATCTGCAGTACCGGTAAGGATAAGTAAAGCAGAATGTGTGAATCTTACCTCAAACTTCTCCACGCATTCACGTTGTGCGTCCAAAGAAGATGGCAACTGGAACTCAGTCGATGGGAACGCTTCTTCTTCCAGTTTCTCAATTTCCTCCTGTTGTGCCTTCAAAGCAGAATGAAGCTCATTCATCCGGTTGCGTACTTGAGTCAACTGTCGCTCACGTCTAGTTACACGCTCGTCAAGTTCATTTAATGTTCGGAACAAGTGTGAAACTAAATCCGTTGCCAATTTTTGTTCATCCTCGATCAAAATGACCGATCCGTCTGAATCACTATCACCAGATGGAGGCTCAGTGAGAGATAACTTTTCTCGCAACTGTTCGACCATCTTTTTGCATGGAATAAGTGCGTTTTGATGAATCTCAAAATCAATTTGGTTCAACTTCGCGTCCAGGAACGGCCGAGTCCAACAAACGGAGTTTGGAGTTGTACCTGTGGTGGATGAGGGCAGATCACTTAACAGCAGATGAACCTGGTCCGATACGCCACGAACATCTGCAATGGCAGAGGTGAACTTCTGACCGAGGTCAGTGGCAGTTCTGATCAAACGGGTCTCCCAGTCAATGGCTTTCTGGCACCGATCAATCAAGGTAGCGTAGAACTCACTCTGCAGCTGATCGATATGCGCCGGAGATTGATCAGATTGATCCGGACCGGGATAAGCATATCGGCTATTCAACTCGGTTCGCAGAGTCCCAAGACAGACCGTTAGATGCTTGTTCAATGAGGTTATCCTATGTCGACATGACTGTAACTCGTGATTCAAACGCTAAAATGCGAAAGAAGGTAAACAAAGATTACAACTTGAGAAAAGATACTTCCTATAAATATTTATTCATTCTTTTGTGACAATAGCATCGGGAAATGGGGCTTTGTGCGAGTAAAAACAACTTTGATAATGGTAACGGCGAAATCGAGTGGTGAACAAATTCAGGTCGATCAAATACTCTACAAATTTCTCAGATTGGGTGACGGTAATGCAATGGTTTAGTCGCTGTCACTAGTGTGCTTTTGACCTTACTATTCAAGGTTCGAACCCCGCCATCGCCACTCAACTATGGTACTAAACAGCTTTGCTGTCGTGCGGTTCGATACCATGCCTAACCAAGCGGGGCTTTATGTTATTCACCATTCTAAGTCCCGAGGCTCATGTTGCGGGTTTTCGTCACTGAACAGCAGTTCTTTGCGATTATGAGCTCCACCCCGTCTGCTGTTCATCAAACAAACGTGTGTGATAAAAATTTGTTACCAAGAAAATGATAGCCATATAACAGAACCAAAACAAAATGTATCAATAAGAGATTCAAGGATGTTTGTCCGGACTTAATCAGTAAACGTTTCCAACTGAACACTATCAACAACAAAAACGAAAAATAACGTATGAACAAACACGCCAAGCTTACTTGCAACAGTCCAAGCCGATGTTCATGTTCTTTTCTTCTGGCATTCCAAACGGTCAGTAGTGAGTCTGCGTTTTCCGCGTCCAAAATCACGGTCAGCGGTTGTAGAGCCGTTTCAAGACAACGATCCAGTTTTCTTTGCACTTCAGATAACCACACTTGTACATCAACACTCTCCTCCTGCACTCGAACGTGGGCTGCTAGGGCCTCGTTCAAACGTGTTTGATATTCCGTCTGTTGCACCTTCAGACGCTCATCCTTAAATTTTAATTGATTCAGAGCCAAGCTCAATGCCGTGGATCCCTCGCTGGCAGTGTTGCTGCATACGATCTGCAACTGACGTAGTAAATTAGGGTATATTCCGGTTTCAAACCGATCCAAACGAGCGGATATTTCGTCCGATAGCCAATTCAGACTACGGGAGTAGATCAGATCACCTTTGGACCAGCAAAAATCGAAAGAAATAGCTCCAGTCTCGGAAACATGGTCCTCAGATGACACGGACGACGTAACGATCGATTTTAAATCCAAAGTGAGGCTATTCAATGCCTGTTCAATCTGCTCTAATTCTTTTGCTCCAGAACTAAAAAGGTTTTCTAGTTTTGCATGCTCCTCCACAACCGTTTGCCATCGTTGGACTGCACTTCGCGCCTGCGTTTTCAACGCACTATGCCAAGATCGTAGGTGTCCTGTGCAACTGTCCAAAGTTTGTTCGACACGATGTCCTGACAATGCATATAAGTCCAGTTCACTGACCGCGCGCACAAACACATCTCGGCTGGTGTTGAGAGCCTCAAATAATTGCTCACATTCTGCGCTGTCCAACTGTTCCAACGACTGCTGCATCCGAGCTAGACAACACTCCTTCTCCGGCTTGGTACTTGGCAACCTGATTTGTGGAACTTGGCTAGCTACCCGCTGGTCGCCAGATGTAGTAGCTCCAAGCGAGGACGCGGTGAACAAAGGATCCATTTTCATCGTTGTCTCACATACATCCAAAAATTTGTGCAGTGATTCGAACGGAGTTGCTAGTGCAGAACACGCTTGATCGAGTACAGTCAGTCTAACTTCCAGTTGTTGCGTTGGTTCGACCAGTTTGTCCCGTACCGCCTCCGACAGTTCACGAACCACAGAGTTCAACAACTCCGGCTCTGAGGTTTCCGGGAGCACGGTCGAGAGCTGACTGTCAAGTATCGCTCCAGTTTTGATTTGCCATTGTTCCACGTTTTCTCGGAACGTGGACAGCTCGTTGCGTAAGTGAATCAACATCTGATCGGTCTGTTTGATCGCGTCTTCATAGTTGCTCGATTTTGACGAGGATTTGCTGACGAATTGGTAGCGCCCAGTGGCGGAATCGTATTCCCAAAACAACTGATCACGAAGATTAGTGGTTCGATCAGTCAGATGATGAAGTCGCTCCAGATGAATGACCAAATCTTGCTTGACCTGAGCCACGGCCCCTTCGAACGATTCGTGCAGTTCGACTCGGCGTTGATGCAACTGTAGTCGAGATTTCACAATTGTCAGAGCTCGTTGATATCGATCTTTGAGTTGCTTGTACTCATCGGAAGGCACGGTGGGTCCGGGTTCACTCTCGTTCTGTTCAATGAGCGCTGGTTCATTTGGATATGACTCAGTTAAGGCCTGGTTACGATCGGAGATGGTCTCCAAAAGACTCTCGTGGGTGTGCATTTCCTTAAGACGTTGCTATTGTTGCAAAAGAAGCAATTGGGGGAAAGGTGGGAGAGAAAATACTGGATGCATTAAAAGTTGCAGTAATCAATAGTGTAAAAACGGGTTCTGTTTCAAACTGATAATTTCCTTCTACATACCGCGTGACATGCCCTAAAATGGTCAGAATAGACTAAATTATGACTGAGAACATTTGAGACGTTGTCGTTGGCAAAATCAATAAACCGCGAGTGAGTGTATTTTAAATGTTCCATCGAAAGTATACACTAATAAACTGAATGCAAACAACGGTCGACTCCGAAAACAAACATGCACCAACCTGATATAAAATGACCAAATTCTTTTTAGCTGACAATGTGGGCACTAATTCGATGGTCTGAAGCACATCCTCGTTGAGTGACCAATCCTGTTCCAAACCATCCATCCACCTGTCGAACCGCGCGCGACACTCGGCGAACGAGGTCCACCGCGTCACGGTCACTTCCGCCTTGTTCACCGCGCCTAACAATTCCGTCCAGTATGTGTCAAAACGAACAAGCATATCCCGACTGGTTTGACGCATCCGATCACGACACTCAGTCAGGACGTGGACGTGAAAACGAGCGGAGTCGGAATCAGGTGAATCAGGTGGTTGCAGCTCGCTCGATCCCGCTTCCGGCGGCGGGAGTGTGATCGATCCAAGTGAGAGAAAGTATGTGGAAGACAGTA